CCCAGTTGATTCTATGATTCTAAGTTTAAAATCACAGAATCATCCAAGAGCATTGAGTCCAACCTTTCTTTCTGTGCTTGTGGGTATTTGAAGTACCTCAGAGAGCAGGGAATGCCTTAAACATAGGGATGTGCTTTCAGGGATGGCTGCGAGCTCTGCTTAGTGTACAATTTCATTTCCTTCAAGAGCTCTGAAATTCTTGAAGGGACATGCAGAGCAGTGCATTTTGCTGGAATCAGCATCAGATCCTAGTCCTGGAGCCATAGAATGTGTTCCTGTTTGCAGAGCTCAATATCTGTCATTCAGTGGCCCCGAAGCACATCTAAACAGGCCCTTTGAATTCCTGCACATTCCCGAACAAAGTGATGAAAATAGCTTCAATGTACTCTATTGTGCAGCTTAAGTCATGATTTTTTTAAAAAAAGGAGAAAAAAAAAAAGGTCTATTGCTCATATAGAGCCAAAAATGTCACTGTGTGACATGATGGGGCTGAGGGTTCGGCTTGCTCCATCCAGGCTTCCTGGTAGTGAAACATCTCTCTGTGCTGCCCTTCCATGGAATGAGCAGATCCCAGCAGAGAAAGCCAGTTCTGTTTTCAGGAGGGATTCAAATATTTTTCAGTTTGGGTCTGTTTTGCTTGCAGGTGATGATTAAAGTGTGTGTGCATGTGGGCATTTCGGGGTGGGAATGTAACACTATGTGTGGATGCCAGTGAGAAACACAGCCCTGAAAGAGCCTGAAAAGTTATTCTGCCGGTGTGCACAGGGAAATTTGGAATAGAAAGAGGGAGGATTGGGAAAACACAGTGAATCATAGTGCTTGGTAAGATCTCACAGAGTCCCAGAATGGTTTGTGTTGGAAGAGACCTGAAAGCTCATCTCATCCCACCCCCTGTCATGGGCAGGGACACTTTCCACTAGAAGAGTTATGGATATGAAAAATGTTGATGTATATGTTCCTGTAACTCTGTGAAGTATTTTTGGGTAAGAAAATCACATAGAAAATTTGATGTGTTTTCTTGCTGTTTCATTAGCCCTTTATTTTTTGGAGGGTTTAACTTGCAGTGGAATCGATGCTCTGTGTCTCACCAAACAGTCAATTTCTGACCTGGGCTTGCACTCAAGGAATTGGGTGATTTGGGACTGGTACTGCATAAGGAATTAAAGGAATACATGCGGCTTTCTGCTAGGAATGGCTCATTTTGATTCCTTAAAGAATCTTTTGTAGTTGAAAATTTTCAGCCAAGGTCTCCAACAATGCCTAGTCTGTAGACAATGTAAAATTTCATAGATTCCCTTCTTTTGATAAAGTTCTTGCTTTGTGTTCTCCCATTTTCTCTGCTAGTTATAAGAAATACAGGGTTTAAATTCTGTTTATTTGAACTTAAAATGTAAGGTTGTTTGATATCTCTCTGGCTAAGTCATTCTGTTGAAGTACCTACTCTGCTAACATGAGAATTCTCCCAGGCTGGTGGAGCTCCTGAGAAACAGCAAAGCTGGGCACAAGTCATTAAGTAGGGAAGATTCAGCCAACAGAACTGGTAGGAGGCTGAGAAAACTCATTCATTATTTAATATCCTTAGCAAACAGACTGTAATTTACTCCCAGCAGCCTGCTCAAACAAAGCCATAAATTATCAGCCTGGAGAAGTTCATCTGGTAAGGTGCTGAGTGCTTTGGCCCTATCTCTCCTAAGTGCTTGGGTTGGGAGGTCGAGAAGGAGAAGGCAGGAGACCACCTGTGCCTTGTGGCTGCTCTTGGCCAGGCTAAATGTTTCAGCCTTAGACTAAGCCTGGGTTTTATTCTGTGAAGGGAAGTTGATCAATCATGCTATGGTTGAGAGGAGTAACAACACCCACGCTTAGATTCAAGAACATGACTTAGCAAAACCCCGGCCCAAGTAGAGGCTGAAAGTTTATACTTGTGGTTAAATTCCTTCATGAGTGGAGCCAGCCTCAACAGGGTGATTCTTATACTGCAAACTAAGATTTGTTCCCTCCCTGTGTATTAGATTTTAGTGTCTTTTTTCTTCTGTAGGAGTGCCCAGAAGGAGAAAGCCAGATCCAAAGTCTTTGCCTTTGTCCCATTCCTCACTACATGAGATCACAGACTTTGCCCTCATTCCCTTTGTGTGTCGCTGGTGTAAACTTCTCCCATCTCTTTCTCTTTCCTTCTGTGCAGGAAGACACAGCACAGCTCTCTGGACCAGAGCTCCCCACCCCAAAGCGGCGTATCTGGCACCTACAACCATCCTGTCCTGGGGATGTATGATTCCAAAGATGACTTCCCACTCAGAAAAACAGGTAGGATCACGTTTGTTTGCTGTGTCACCAACTGTCCTTCCTGTCACACTTGCCCTTCTGATTTGATTTAATGTAGATGATATGACTAAAACGTTGTGTTTCACAGGGTGATTCGCTTAACAAGCCTCCACTCTATCTGCTCCCCCTTCACCTGTCACTGTGTTCACAGTGCTCAGGGAGGTTGGGGCTGCTCCGGGTGTGCGAACGCAGCAGACAGCAGAGTTGTGTGTCAACACCCCAGTTGTGAGGTGTTTTCACCAATTCAAAGCCAACACAGAGATCTAGGTGTCTGAAGTCCAAGTGTGTTTTGATGAGTGAGAAAAGTACCAAGAAAACTTCATTTCTTTGGGGATTTGCATTTTATAGACAAGCTTATACTTCATGTAAATAACAAGGTTTTTGCCAGTCAAAGCCTCAGGGCTTCCTGCGAGGGTTTGGTTTACACCTAGACAGTTCTGCCTCAGTTAGGCTTTTCCCTGCATGGTGGCTGAGCAGGTCAGTTATTTCGCAGCTCTGTATTATGTAAACCAGGTTGTTTTGGTTGGCTGTGCTCCTCAGCTCCATGTTGAATGCCTGAGCCAGCACAGCCTCAACTCTGAGCCTGGCCAAGCTCCTGAGCCTCGGCCGCTGCCTGGAGGGAATAGGTCAGCTCCAAGAGCTCATCCTGCTTCAGGGAGCAGTGCTGCTCACGTGGGTGGGGCACAGTGCTGGGAGTTGGAAATCACCTCAGAATACAAAAAAATAACTTTTCTGAAAAGGTCACTGAATCGTGAAGGTTGGATAAGACCTCCAAGGTCATTGAGTCCAACCATTAACCCAGCACGGCCAAGCCCACCACTAGCCCATGTCCCCATGTGCCACATCCACACACCTTTTCAACGCTTCCAGGGATGGTGACTTCATGACTGCCCTGGGCAGCTTGTTCCAATGCCTGACCACCCTTTCAGTGAAGAAATTTTCTGTAATATCCCATCTAAACTTCCCCTAGTACTACTTGAGGCCATTTTCTCTTACCCTGTCGCTTGTTACCCGAGAGAAGAGACGGTGAATGTTCACAGGTGGAGTGGAACTAAGAGGAAAGGAGGGATGTGACTGAATTTCACACCTTCTGCAGGTGCTGCCTTGCTGGTCTCAGGTGTACATTATGGATCTTCAAACATGGGGGGATGAGCACCAGCAGCCAAAAACTGTGTGTTATACTTGTGATAAGGAATGATGATGGTGTGTTAACCATCTCCCTGTGGTGGAACTACAGCCTTTGCTCAAATCAACTGTTCTAAATCAGTTCCCAAGAGCTGGCAATGCCTTCTTTTCCTTCTGGGAGGAATGTAAGTGTCCTCATGGCAGTTACTTTTCTAACAGAGGTGGTGCAGGTCTTAGGTGCAGTGGATGGCTTAACACCATTCATAGAATCACAGGATGGTTTGGCTTTGAAGGGACCTGAAAGTTCATCTCATTCCACCCCCCTGCCATGGGACACCTTCCACCAGCCCAGGTTGCTCCGAGCCCCATCCAGCCTGGCCAGCAGGGATGGAACAGCCACGGCTTCTCTGGGCAACCTATACCAGTGCCTCAGCACTCTCACAGGGAAGGATTTCTTCCCAATATCCCATCTATCCCTGCCCGTTGTCAGTGGGAAGCCATTCCCCCTTGTCCTGTCACTCCAGGCTCTTATGCAGAGTCCCTCTGTGTCTTGCTTGGATCCCCTTTAGGCACTGGAAGGGGCTCTAAGGTCTCCCTGGAGCCTTCTCTTCTCCAGGCTGAACACCCCCAGCTCTCCCAGCCTGGCTCTGGGCATCCCATGCCAATGCCTCACCACCCTTAAAGTAAATTCTTATTACCTCTGTAGACTTCCTGTGCCTCCTGCTTCACAGTTCTGTGCATTAAAAAGCCTTTTGGGGAATTCCTCTTTCTGGACCATAGCACCTGGTCTTCAGGATGGATCCACAGATGGATTCCCATCTGCTGTGCAGTAGACTCTGTTCCCCTGTCCCAGACATGGTGGGTTGGTTAGGTGATGAGTGCGAAACACTTACTACTCGATCAAATATTGGGGTAGTACTTTAGACTATGCCCTTTCTGGAGGACTCCAAGAGCAGAGCTTAGAAAACTGGATTTGCTGAAGGGTAGGGCATCCTCTAATCTCTGATTCTAGGTAATAAATGACCTTTCAAGCTCCTCTGGGAAATCAGTGTCTCCGCAGAGGGAAGCATCCCTTGGCACTATACCCATCGCTTAGGGCCTGTGGACAGCCTGATTCCAAGAGATTCTTAGCTTTTCCCTATGCCGTGTGAAACCAGGTGATCTGTTACTGGTCTGTTGGCATTCCCACAGTATAAATGGGCTTTGTCATGCTCTAGAACCTCCCTCGTTTGTGACCTCACGGGTCCTTCTTTGCTCCCAGTGTTCTGGAAGGGGATTTCTGCAGGAGAAGGAGAACATCTGCACATCTCACCCTGTGCTGCTTCCTAAACGGAGTTCTCAGTAAGGCTCCCGCTGGATAAAAGCCCTGTCAGACAGGGGGAATTAAGGATGATAAATGGATCTAATCACAATAATAAAAAGTGGAAGCAAGTAAAACCATTGTTGTTTTCAAACAGGAAGACACTGAGCTGATTTTGGTTTGCGAGGACGCTGATACTTGTTCTTTTTGGACACCAGCATTAATCTTCTGGGGACTGGTCTGGGCTACAAATGAGTTCACTTTCATAAGGGTCGGGGAGAATTCTTTTTGTGGATGTTTTCTTTTCCCTTCAACGCAACAGCACGTCAGGCTCTGGCACAGCAATATCCTGCAGGAATCCCAGTGCCAAGAATGTTAAGTTGCTTGGAGAAGAAAGGCTCCTGAGCAGTCTGGTGTAAACAAAAGGCTAGGGAAGGCTGGAGCCCATCCTAAATAAAGTTCTTCATTATGGGTGAGCTTTTCGGATTTTTGGCACCAGGAGAGGCTCTGGCTTTGTGTTGGGAATTTAAAACCACCATATCGTGTAGTCCAGTTTTATTAGATTTGATTAAATATTTGCAGCTCAAATAGCAGAGTCCATGGCAATCCAGTTCTGATTACCAGGGTTGGAATACAACTAACATCATTGCGGGGGAGAAGGCAACTTAGGGGGCTGTGGGAAGGCATTTGGAATGAACAGTTCTTCCAGGATACATTTGCAGAGCCAGCAGTGTGTCCTGCAGCTTGAGATATTTTCAGGAAGAATAAATATTCCCTGTCTGTGGAAGTGTTCTAGGCCAGGTTGGATGGGGTTTGGAGCAACCTGGGCTAGTGGTTGGTGTCCCTGCCTGTGGCAGAGTGGAACAAGTTGGTTCTTAATCCAACCAGCTGTGATACTGGAGGGAAAGGAAGAGGCAGGACCCTGAACCTCAGCAGTGCTTCACAAAACAGGGGCTGAGCAATATGGTCTAGGGGAAGGTGTCCCTGCCTATGGCAGGGGTTGGAATGAGATGAGCTTTAAAGTCTCTCCCAACCCAAACCAGTCTGGGATTCTATAAAATACATCACCTGCACTGAGTTTTAAAAACTCTGTGTCTTTACTCTTACTTAAAGCTTCATGATGTGGTCACAGGTTATGGGAGAGGGACATGTGTGCATGAATGATGTCTTAAGAGTGCTTGAAAGCCTTCGCACGTGCAACAGTCAACTCTTGCAGTGTGCTCCTAATGCATCCTGTGCCTTGAAATCCTACTCTGCCTGATTTGTTTTACAGAATTATGCTCCACTTTCTCAGCTGTTTGGTTTCTGTATGGAATTGTTTTCCTGGTGCAGTTGCTGATTGCTTGAATCCTGTTCTTAGCCTGGCTGAGGGATGCATTTCACTTCCAAGCACTTGAGGTTCTGCTTTTATTTAACTGACCTGAGAATGGCTCAGTTGGTGCTGCTCATGCTTCTGCTATTCGGTGCCTGGATTAGCACAAGGATTTTTATTTCCCTTTTTGGATGGTTTCCTTTATCCTATATATGTTTTAGTTCTGCATTTTGTTGGCAGCTGTTGAGAGGGAAATCTCTTAAGTGACCTTTTCAGCCCTCAGATCAAGGCTGGTGTCCTCCAGATTTACTGATGCTTCATTTTGTGCTGCGCTGGGATCCGCTGAGGAAAACCTCTGGAGAATCCTTACAGAGGGATTTTGGAGTCTGTCTTGAGACAACCTTTGGAAAAGCTGTTTTGATAACCCCAAAAGTTGTTTGTCAACAGCTTTCTTGGAGCTGCTGAAGTGGTTTTTAACACAGCTTCTCAGTTCTGCATTTCTAAGGAATTCTGTCCTCATTTTCTCCCTAGGAACAAAGTGGTTAATGGCATTCCCTGCTTTCTGAAATGTGAGCAGTGGATGTATTAAAACATGCTGTTAATTAGAAAACTGACACCACCACCATCGTGGAGGTTTAAAGGAAGTTATTTAGCTTCTTAACATGCTTTTCCTCTTGGTTTTTTTTTGGTTGATTTGGGGTTTTTTTACATCCTGTGCAAAGTTGGACCATGTCACAGAGTCCCAAACTGGTTTGGGTTGGAAGGAACCTCAAAGACCATCTCATTCTAACCCCTGCCATGGGCAGGGACACCTTCCACTAGACAAGTTTGCTCAGGACCCTGTTTTGTGAAGCACTGCTGAGGTTCAGGGTCCTGCCTCTTCATTTTTCTCCAATATCACAGCTGGCTGGGCTAGGGAGAAGATCAGGTGGATGTTAAGGGACATGAAGATTTTAAGGAGGCAAAGGATTCCTGTGGTCCCAAATATGTTTTTGCTGCAGAGCTGTGGGATAGGATCTCGGGGTGTGAGTTTCCACTGAAACCAACAAGGCCAGGTTGGATGGGGCTTGGAGCAACCTGGTGTAGTGGAAGGTGTCCCTGCCCATGGCAGGGGGTGGAATGAGATGAACTTTAAGATTCCTTCCAGCCCAAACCATTCTGGAATCCTATGGTTTCCAAAGCTGGACTGGACTGAGTGCCAGACTGGGAGCTTACAGACACCTTTGGCAGGTGTCTGTCTCTGAA